CTCCAGGGGCCCCTGGAGCCCCTAGGGCTCCTGGGGCCCCTGGGGCCCCCCGAGGGCCCCACAGACAAACAGCAGGGGAACCTGAGGCAGCTCCGTAGGGAGCTGGAGACCCGCAGGGGGCCCTTGAGGCTGAAGGAATGTTTCTGGGCTTTGGAAGGCCTACGTGCTGTAGCTGGGCGCTGGAAGTGCCTGCATGTGCCGTTGGTCCTGCTGCTGCTCCTGCTACTGCTGCTGCTGCTTCTACTGGCGAAACCTCCTCAGCCACCCTCAGAGGGCACGAAACTGGGGCCCACAACGATGGAGGGGGGGTTCCCTGTGCTGGAGGAGGGGGGCCCCCGCTCTTAGAAACTGCGTCTGCGAGGGGGGCACGGCTGTGGGGCCCACTTTGCAGCGGCGCTGCAGCAGCAGTTGAAGCAGGAGCTGCTGCAGCTGCTGCTGCTGCTGCTGCTGATGCTGCTGCTACTTTTCCTGCAGCTGTTTCTGCTGCCCGGCTTGCGGCTGCAGCGCCTCGTTGTGCTGCTGCTGTCCCTCCTGCCTCTTGACTTTGCCTTGCTGCTGCATTTGCAGCAAGCCCCGCTGCTGCGTTGGTCGCTGCTGCAGATGCTGCTGCTGCTGCTGCTGTTGGTACTGCTACTGCTGCTGTTGTTGCTGCTGCATCTCCCCGCGCCGCTGCTCCCTCAGCAGCTTGCTGCAGCTTTGACAGTCCGTGCCTTTGCTGCTGCAGCGGCACCAACACAGCTGAAGGAGCAGCAAAACAAAGACATCCCGGAGCAACTCGCAGCATTACTCTGTTTCCTTCTCTTTCAGCTTCTTCTTTAATTCTACTAGTACCACCGGCAGCTCCAGGCCTCTGGGGCCCCTGGGACCCCTCGGGCCCCGGGGCCCCCCGGGGCCCCTGGGGCCCCCGGGGCCCCGGGGCCCCCCGGGGCCCCTGGGGCTCCCGGGGGTCCTGGGGCCCCCTGGACCCCTGGGGGGACCTCCTGGGGTCTGGGGGCCCCTGTGGGCCCTCAAGATAATGCACCAAGTTGAGGGGGAGGCCTTTAGTAGCTGCGCCCAGATATTTGGCTGTGCGGGCAGCAGTTGTGGCCTCAGCCTGCTGCAGCAAGAGCCGCCGCTGCTGCTGCTGCTGCTGCTGCCTGCTATAGCTCGCTGGGCGGCTGCGCCTGCGACTTTGCGCAGCCAGCAGCTGCCACTGCTGCACAGCCACGAGACAGGGGCCCCCCGGGGCCCCCGCGAGGGCCAGGCGCCCAGTAAGGGTACTAGTTGTTGTGGGCTGTGCTGATTTGCTGCTGCTTGCTGCAGCACCAAGGGGGGCCCCTTGCTCTTTGGGGGCCCCTTCTCGCTGCAGCTCCAGAGACACAAAGGCGCTACTGCTAAACGTGCCCCACGTGGTGCACGCTACTGCGGCAGGGGAACTCCGTTCCCGCTGCTGCTGCTGCTGTTGCTGCTGCTGCTGCTGCTGCTTCTCTTTGTTGCTTCTTGAATCAGGCTGTTTCTGGGGCTCCGTCAGTGCTGCAGCAGCAGCAAATAGCAGCAAACCGCCGCCCTCACCTGGAACACGCAAGAGACATCCCACCAGCGAGGCCTGGCAGCTACTGCTTGACAAGGACCAGCTGCTGCTGCTGCTGCTGCTGCTGCTGCTGTGGTCTATGGCGCCTCCCTGTGCCCTCTCTGCACGCAGCAGCAGCTCCTCCACTCCAATAATTGCAGGTGCTGCAGCAGCGGGGCCCTCCAGCTGCAGCAGATTGGGCTTGGGGAGCTGCTGGGCCCCCAGCAGCAGCAGCGCCGCACATAGCTGCTGAAGCAGTACGAACTCATCTGGGTGCTTCTCCATAGCAGCAACAGCAGCAGCAGCAGCACGGCCGATGCAGAAGCAATCAACGGCAGCAGCAGCACAAAGCTTTCTCAACAGCTTTGCTGCAGCGTCAAGGGGGCCCTCTGAGGAACCCTCATCAAAACGTGTTTGTGGGGAGGCATAAACGGGGCCCCCAGGTCCCCCGCAGCTATTCATCCCCAGTTGCTGCGCTGCAGCAGCAGCAGCTCGCAGCACCTGCTGCTGCTGCTGCGCTGCAGCA